TCTGTGCTTTCCCTATATATGAGTGTGTTTGCTTGAAACTTCACTTATTGATATGTAGATTGAAAGAGAGGTATGTAAACATGTTCCCTGTGCCTCATTTTTGGCCCTTCCCATTCCTGATCAGACCCCAGCATTAACTTGACTAATCAGATTATTATTCGAAAACATTTTTCAAAACCCTTCAATCTTGAATTCCTATCCTTCGTTAATTTCAGAATGCAGTCGCTGATTTTGTTTTACAAACATCCTGACGACCGCACTTTTGCTTCTTTATGTAGAATACGAGGATAGGCCTAACAGAATATAAAGATTTAGTTTCTGAATGGAGTGGATGCGGTCATTTGCAGAATTCTACTTTCTAACAAAAAAGCATTTAGTACTTCCAAAATGCGTGCGGGCTCGTTTTACTGTAAAGATTTAAATATGGGACATGCAGTGTCTAGAATTGGCACGACCCTTTTTCCTAAAACCATTTTAACCAGTATGAGCAATGAAATACTAGTAAAATTTCTCAGCCTATCTGCGAACCAGTCTGACTTGATGGCAGCGTGCGGGATTTTCTCGACCTCAGTTTCCCACAGAAACTCTCACATAGCGGCTGTACTTGCGCTGTCCCGAGATGGACAGCTGAGACGATTCTGACTGAACGCTTGCGCCGTTTGGTGAACATGGACGAGTTGAGTGGTTTTGCTAAAAAGACACCTCGAAACGCAACAACTCATAGCACCGCCTGCGCCATCTCGTTATATCTCGTTATTTCGTACCAAAACCTATATGGGTCAATACCGAAGCCTGCTTTCGACGCCGAAAAACGTCGAAGGCGAAGCATCCGTTTTGGAAGAGCTCACCTTCCACAAATGGGCGGAGTTTGGATCTTGAACTTTTTAACAATAGTACTTTGTATTATAAATTGCTCGCAATGCCAGTCGTTAATTACACAATCCACAATGCATCAAACCGTTCCATGTGGATCATAGGTGCAATACATTGTTCCAGCTGCAAAATTTATTGCACCATTAAGCCTTACGTGAGGATGTAGAGTGTGAACAACGCAAAGACTTATACATATACTCAAAACAACAAAATGTAACAAAATTCAACAAAAAATGATGGTATACTTCTTCTATGCCTCGAGCAATGAGTTGTGTATGTACTTTTGAAGGAACATCGTAAACAGAGAACTAGTTGCTGCAAAAGATCCGCCCCTTTCCACAAGACAAATGATTGTTGTACAATCATCGCTTACATCACTTAATAACTCTTTCAAGTATTTTTTTACGTTGCTCGTTGCTATTTTCATTTTGTTCATCACTAGTTTTACAGCAAAAAGGACACAACAAAAAGGAAGAATTCTTTTTTCTTTCAATTTTATTGATGGATCTGTGCTACAAATGCTTATCAGGATGTAAATTTTTCAAAACTTTAACCTCAAAAATTCTCCATATGAGTATCATTTGACTCCCAAAAACATACAAAAAACGCTACGCGATTTTTGATTCCTGATATGATAAATGTAATATATTTGATCTATACATAAGTACATCTTGCCTAGTAGAATTCATATCTGAAATTGGCCGTTAGCAGTGGGGGAAAATATTTAGAAAAATGGGAAAATCGCGTTTGCCTGCTCAAGGAAAGCAAATAGTACAGGATGTCCCAAAAATGTGCCTACTATTTGGATGCCAATGACTCTCTTACCATGAGACCTTTGGAGAAGCTTTAGGTACCACTTTGTAAAGCTGTCTTCAACATGGAGCTACAGTATTGAGCAAATCCCTGACTGCTCATTCTTACTGTTGGACTACGGTAGAAACTTTGAACTCGTTTTTAGCTCCTCACAGCCAAAAAACGCTTGCAAACCTTTTAAAATTCTAAATTTGTTCACATTAAAATTTTTTTAGGCGCTGATGCTTATGGAGATAAAATCAGCATCTGTGAAAAACTTAGTGTAAATCTTTCGAAATTTGGAAAGACCCTTGCAAGCGTTTTTGACTGTGAAAGGCTAATGACGAGTTTGTATCGTTACCATAATCCTACAGTAGGAATGAGCATTTCGTGACGGGTCCTACTATATATATCTAAGATGAACTTAGCTCCATAGGTATCCAAAGCTTCTCCAAAGACTTTATGACAACAGAGTAACTCTGTGTATAAAATCCATTGGACCTCGATCATTACATAATGATCATTGTTTGCGCTATCCCTCTAAACTACATTTTGAATGGTTTCTCAAAATTGACGGCCCGATAAATTTTTTTTCAGAAACCTCTGGAGTTGAAAACATTTGTACGATAACTTTCAAAGTCACACAGAATTAAGAGATTTTATTAACTGTATCACAACTTATCACCTCACCATCATTTCTGAAAAGCGTTATATAATAGTGGGTTGAATTTCGGGAAGAGGAAGAACTTCTGGAACAAACTGATACTAATCCTTCGACAAACGCAGTACAGTTTGTGGAAGAAAAGTGATCCATTGCTCGTCCCACTGCACAAGGCAAAATGTGCCAGAAAGCTGCGAAAATCTCGATTTAGATGACTACACTTGAACGGCTGATCTGCGAAGTTTTAAACGACTTACAGATAGAATGGTCCCTCTGTCCAAAGACATATGATGCTTTACGTGCAACAATCTCGCATAGCACATAAAGGCAGGATCCAGTTCTTGACTTCTATATTTATCAATAAGGACACGCGTTGCTATGCAGTTGAATTCCTCAAAGTCACAGTCGAGACACCGGGTGGACAAGGAGTGATCTGGGAACCTGAAGCTGTATCTATTGACTAAATGAAGATTTTTCAGAGTAAAACTTACCAGTATGCAGATAAGAACTTGCAGTATGCCTCGACAGCGCTCTCCTTCCACTGTACCCTGTCTTTCAAGCGGAGAACTTCGGGTGAGCACATCTCGACGAAACCAGGCAAATTGTAGAACTGGAACCCAAGTTGTCGAGGTTTGATTTTTGTCGATCTCACCTCAGCCTCTTTTCGAAGCTCTTCGCGAGCGTCATCGTTTGAAGGAGGTGTAAAATTTTCACTATCTCGTAGATAATCCAATATCTAAAATAAAGTCTTAGCAGATGGTTTGTGATATCGATGTTGATCTCACCTTTGCAAAATGCTTTGGATTTCTATCCACAAAAAGCTCCTACTCATTTCTCCAACGACTAGCAACCATGACCGAGAGCACCTTTAAGAACAAATGAAGAAAACATAGTAGCAATACTAAGCAACACCCACATTATCATGAAATCTCGTAAGAGTAGAAAGATATGTTTCAAAATTTTTTCCTCCTACATTGATTTGCACACGCTCGCCATATACGGGAAGCTCTTCTTCTGCCTGGAAACTTATTCTCTATAATCTTATAACAGAAGAACAAGTGGGAACACGCTAATATCAGTCTCCCTCACCCAGTCGCTCAGTGCTATTTGGAAATGTGAAAACAGAGACTCAGAGCTCGGCACAGGTGGTTTGTAAGCAAGTTAAATATCGTTTTTGGGACAAAAAGCAAAGGCAGTATGCAAAGTTTTTCTAAGTCCATGTTTCCTTTTCTGATGATTTCTTACCTTTAGGATTTAGGGTCAAATGGAACTTCGTAAAAATTCGCGAAAATCAAGAAGTACTTCGTTTTTTGCATTTTCCAAAAGCCACCTAGTGCCGTGCTCTGCAGAGACCACTTTTCCTGACATAGTTGGTTTACTAGGAGCGGAATTATGATACGCAAATCACTTATGTTGAGTTCTACATAGGAAAATTTCTTGAATTGTAAAAAAGAATTTGGGCGTGTTTGCAACCATGTTCCCTCTTTTCCACAGGTTTAGTGCCATGATCCAAAAATTGAGAAGCTTTTCAAGAATCCGTCAAAGAGCATGCCTGACAACCGTTCCCCCTTCGGACAGAGATTTCCTTGCCGCTTTTCAATGTATTTTTTCTCAAGTGCAGAGGTTTGCATCTGTGCGGAATTATACGCGGCGCATTGCTTGAAATTACCACTTTGCATTGTGTCTGCACCTACATGTTCGAGTTTTTGGAAACTTTCAAGAGATATTTTAGTGACCAAGTTACAAGTGTGAAAAAGTGTGCAATTTTTCACTTCAGAAATTTTGGGAAATTTTGGAAGGACGCTCCTTCGGGCCGCCACAGTCAGCACCATCCTTTGAATGCTTCAGGTAACATCCAAAGCTACTCGTGTGCCTGCTCCGTGCTAGCGCCGTGTCCAAACCCACGTGGTCGCGTCCCGCATTGATCTCGATGTTCTGGCACGACGCTGGCACGGATCTGGCATTAGCAGTCTTAGATGCGATTTCAGAAGCATCAGTCTCATATTTTATAGATGATAAGGTCCCGAATTCCCTCAATGCAGTTTATGCGAGTTTCCAAGTCTCAAATGAAGAGACAAACTTTAGAACAATTTTTCAGAATTATTTCGTTTAAAACATGCGTTCCTACCTTGTGCTCACGAAATTACTTTGATACTTATTTCGTACGCATCATTCTTGCGCTGTGTGAAGCATGGGCTATTTCTCATGAAGAAATCAACAAGATTTGTGTTGAGAGTTAACCTCGTACGAGTTAACCTAGTTAACCTTTTCGGGTCACGAGAAATTTTTTTGGTAACGAAATAACTCCAACCTTTTTTCTAGTTTCCTTATCGACAGAAGGGCAATCTGCGCACTTCGACCGTCTCTCAATCTGATAACCAACCTTTTGCTGCTATTATCGCAATTTGCCCGTTATAAATGATGCGCCAGAGAGGTGCATTATCGCTTTTATTACTGCACTCATTGTAATATGTAGGACACAACAAATATGGTATATAGCAGACATTATAAGCAATAAAGCAAAATTTCCAAAATCGCAAATTTGTCGATTCATTTCAAAATCAGCCAAAGAGGAAACCTATAGATTCGGCTAGTCGTAGAAAATAGTAGTAGAAAAATTCACACAATGAAAACGCTAATAAATGTATCTAATGATACAGTAGCAAATGGAGATCTACTTCAGCTGCGATGGCGCCAATCGCAGCATTGCCTGGAGATGATGAAAATTCCACCCATTGTCCCATTTTACGTTACAGCATCCCCTTTTAACCACCTGCAATTTGCGAAATAGCAAAAGTTTCTAGTCTCTAAATGTATTTGTACTACCTTCGTCACAGTTCCCTTCATGACCTGCATTTGATCCTTCATGGGCTTCCACTCTTCATAATTTATATTGTTACTGCGCGTATCCAATTCAATACATTCTGTTCCAGAGTTCGCACACTTGGTCTCGGCACCTGTATTTCTACCGTTGTGCTCATACCTTAAAAAATGTCACATTGGTTAGGACAAAGGTGATGGTAACCCTATTCAAAGTAGAACGTAGAAAACTATCCTGTAGGGAATCCGATAGAGTAAAGTAATTCGTCAAGTCACCAAAATCCCCATCACATCGCCATATCTTGGTATAGATTAAAACGATTCTCAATTCAAAGACAATCGCTCCAAGGTTCGCCTCATCTCGGCCCTTTTGGATACGGTAGGCGCACAGTAGACGGCAATTTCAAGAACCTTTCCAGATTTTCGTTTACGGTAAGTTACTCAGGGCTTATTCGCTGCACACTGAGTAACCTACCGAAGGCAAAAATCTAGAAAAAATTGTGAGAACTGACGGTCTACCGTACTCAACAAGCTTTCCTATATATCAAGAGACGCGCCTTGCCGCTGAGTCAAAGATACCTTTGGATTTAGCATTCCCTCCCCTGAACCAAGATATGGCGAAACGACGCGGACTTCAGTCTACTGCGGTGGTGGCCAACTTTTTGACAAATTAAAATAATCCTAAACTCTCACCTGGCAAAAAATTTCCAGTATGCTTCTATGGCATCCTCCTTCCACATGACCCAGTCGCCTACTTCCAAGTCGGGTGAGCGCTTCTCAGGCCCAATAGCGTAAAACTGCAAATGTGCCAATCAATCAGTGATCAGTTTTGCTGAAACGGTCGGGACCCTGCAACTTGGTTCAAAACAACCTTTACTTTTTAAAGCGAAGGATACGAGGATTTATAAAACTTATCTAAAATTCTATTTTATTCGAAAGGTTTCATACTCGACGGAAAAAATTGCAGTAAAGCCATGAAAGATGGATTTTTTTAACATTTCTACTGACCACCGCTCAGGACACTGACAAAACACGCTAGAAATCAAAAAACCATCCATAATTAAATGCCAGTTTAGAGCGTTTTTATTGCAAATCAGAGGTCTTTAGAGAGGCAGCTTTTTGTGTAAATTTTTTGTTCTTCAATCCCTGAGCAGTTGCTGCTCCAAGTAACCAATAGTATGGAAAAATCCAGCTTCCACTGAGATTTTAGCGTGCAACGAATTTGTCGCAAATTTCCTTCGCGGGAAAATCCTTCAAAACCCTTTATGTGAATGTAAATTCCAAAACGGTTTTTTTTGAATTCTTGTTTTCAATGGCTTTCCAAAAATTAATGACCAACCCGAACTTGTGATAGTCAAGCTGAACCAAGCCACGGGTCCCAACGGTTTCACGTTTCCACCCGTATTGCAGCTTTCAAGTAAAGCAAGGAACTCACCTCTGTCTCCTTTCCAACACATTCTCTAGCGTCATGATCGTTCGTAATAACAAAATCAAAATTAGCAAAGTATGTTATAAAAACATTTATTTGCACACGCTTATAAGATGTTGCGCCAACATTGGTTCGCGTACGCTGTTCATATGTGGGAAGCACTTCCTCTGCCCACCTGTTTTCACTTCTTCTTTCTGCCTGAAATAAACTTGTGATAGAAGGCATAATCAAGAACAACTCTGATAGATGGGCTCGTACCTAATAAACCGACTATGTTAGAGCAAAAGTGGTCTGTGTTTTCACATTTTCATACCGCGCGTAAGCGGGTTGGCGGGGTAAAACCTGACTCTTACAAGGCGATCACTCCCAAGGATCGCCCTCCCCTTTTCGCACCCCGTTCTAGAAGTTGCCCATTGAAGACAAGGCCACGAAGCATGTTGTTGTGCCCGAAAATCACGCCACCTCGCGATTAAGGCACGCACTATTGGTCAAATTAGTGAACTGACCAATAGCGCGTGCCAATAGCGAAGTGGATGAAGTGGATCAAGGGAATCATGGACATCCGCTTCGCTATTGGTCAGTTCACCGATTTGACCAATAGCGGAGTGGATCATTTTGTACCAAGTGGTTTGAGCGGATCAGGTATGATGCGTGCCTGAAGGCAGCGTCCGGGCAGATTCTCGACCTCTATTTTTTGCCTCATTCAGGCCTTTTCATGGCTCTGATTCCAAAAATAGAGCTAAAGGCAGCGTCCCGGCAATATGATGGGTGTTGAGATATCATAGCGTTTTAGTAGGTGGACCCCCAGATAGTCTGTCAGTGAATTCTGGAGCATTCTGGAGCAAAAAACGCATTTGGAAGGCCTAAAATCCACTCCAAAAGTCTTTCGAACCCCGCCCCCTCGTTCTGGGTCCCGCTCACTCACACGTGATTCTGAGCAAACATGGGCATATAGAGCTTCTAGAAAAGCTCATTTCAACCATTTTCAAGCGCTAAAAACCCAGATACGGATTCAGCATGATGAAAAGGCTCTGAGAAGGTGAAGAACCGGGGGGGGGGGATTTTCCCGGGACACTGCCTTTGAGGCTGTATCTCTCACAAAAGCCCCTTTTTCAGAACTTTTGTGAGAGCTGTGGTCGAGGGCGCCTGGCGCTGTCCTTGTCGCAGGAAGCAGATCAGACAGTATGCTTTCAAAGTGCTCGCCTTGTGAAAAGGTGTCAAGGTATAGGGAGATTTCGGAGGAGGTTGGCCTCGCCAAAGTAGGCCGCGGTATGGTAATTTGTGCAACGATTTTCTCCATTTTGAGCGGATGTTTGGAGGTCGAGTTTGCGTGATAGTTCTAGATCGAGGCCCTGGCACTCTACTATGATATTAGGTTGTAACAGAATTAATGCAGGTTTTGAATTCCAACCGCAATAAGTCATACACTTCTCATTTCTAAGTAAGTTGCAAAACACCATTCGATAGAGCAAAGCAATCTCTAGAAGGTGGCAATCTTGCTTTAGCAACAACTCTGATCCACCACAAGTTTCGAGCCAAAAACTAAAAAGATTCAACTGTCCGAAAAATTGAGAAAAATCATAACTTAGTTCATAAAAAACCAAAAATTCTAACTTGCTCACGTAAAGACTATTTACTTAAGACATCTACACACGCCTTTGCCGTATTTTTTTCCTCTGTTAGAAATCAAATAAACGGAAATTCTCGTGCATTTGCCAAAGTGTTGTTGTGCCGTTCCCACATAAGTAGTTGTATACTACAAACCTGTAGAAGTATAAACGTGAGTTTCCAGCTCTCTACAAGCTTTAGTTCTCGGAAAATATCGAATACAGTTTTCGCTAGTCATGTGGTCCAAGCTAAAATTCAAATTTCTCGAGAACTAAAGCCTGTAGAGAGCTGAAAATTTACGTTTATACTTTTACAGCTTTGTAGTATACACCTACTTATGTGGCACAGCAACACTTTGGCAAATGCACGAAAATTTCCGTTTACTTGATTTCTAACAGAGAAAAAAATACGGCAAAGGCGTGTTTACGTGAGCAAGTTAGGATTCTTGTAGGTTTTTTATAAACTGAGTTATGATTTTTCTCAATTTTTCGGGCAGTTGGATCTTTTTAGTTTTTGGCCCGATACTCGTGGTGGATTAGAGTTGTTGCTAAATCAGGACTGCCATCTTGTAGAGCTTGCTTTGCTCTATCGAATGGTGTTTTGCAACCTACTTAGAAATGAGAAGTGTATGACTTATTGCGGTTGAAATTCAAAACCTGCATTAATTCTGTTATAACCTAATAGTAGCCGGGAATGTCCAAATCTACCCTGACGCTGCCTTCAGACAATCTTCCCCAATTGTGCTGAAAAAGTACTAATTTAACATTTTATCCTTAGTTCTAACTCCTGAGGTTACGTTTGAATGCAGTGTTTGACTCAAGAGAACAAAATGCCAAAGAAAGCCAGATATTCAAAGGTAGAGATTTGCTTGAATGTCCTTAAACAGTGAACTTACTAGTGCAAGCTGGACTCTCTTTTTCTACATGAAAAACACCCAATAAACACATATTGAGATTGTCCAAAATACGGATTCAATAGCTTAGATTAATGATATTGTTTGAAGAAAAAAGCTTAAGCGTCGGACTCACCATAATCCGCCGAGCACCTTTCACAACCGAATATCGTCACTACTTACTGTACTTGAATTCCGGCATAATCTATGTGTACATGCCGAAGTCGACAGTAAGTAGAGAACGGAGATAGATTTGAACTATATGTGAAATGGAACTTTTCCTCTACATGTTCATGTGGTCAATCAAAAACATGCGAGAGTAAGTTACTTTGGTGCGTCATAAAAACGAACAACTAATTTCCAGACTTCACTTCAAAAGCCATTCCAAGCAGCTTTTCATTCCGGGTCAACTATTTCTTAGGCAAAGAAGAGATTGTTTGATCAGGGGCCGCCCTTGTATCAGACATCTAATTTCTTGGACTTGTATGCGTTCTTGAAAGAAAGATTTGTAAATATGTGATGAACATTCTCAAATTTGTCCTGTTTGACTGTGTAATCTTTCCAAAGCTCTGCATTTTTGTGCGCATACCACAAAGTTCATTTTCTTAGCTGAAATAAATTCATCACGGTCTCGAATCTTTTTCGCAAGCTGCGGATTCAAAACATCTCTACAATTAGTGTCAGTCACGTGTTGCTTCGTGCCACGTTCACGTGCGTATGACTCGGACATTCAAATGGGCATCATTGACTGGAGGTTCGCGCAGGGCCCTTGCTTGCGCATGCGTAGTTGCTATGCGAAAGGGAGTACTTAATTGACATTGACTGTATCTCGCTGCGTGCCCAGTCTTGTTTTTCTTTTGAATCAATCACGCAGCACCTTCTAGAAATTTTCACTCTGGAGAGCTGAGCGAATATATCATCACAGATAACACAAGGTTATAGCAAATCAACTGTAAACCTGGATGGTTTGCACTTGAGAGGTTGTACGATTGCTCTAGTATTCTGCAGTTGCGCTCATAGCCGCCCGTTCTCAGAGCAAAGTTAAACGCAAGCATCTTGGTTATTTGGTTGGTCACAGATTGTGGGTTGTAAGATTTGGTCTCGGGAATTGACGACAGGGCTCGGCACGAACTGGCACTAGGAAAATTTCAAAACGAAGTCCCGTTTGATATTGAAAATTTCGTACGAAGTCCCTTTTGACCTATTTTGAAAACCCGTCATCATTTTTATATTATGTAAAAAATGTAGTAGTGTTTTCATGCATTCCTGATTTCATGAAAGAACTTTTCACAGCTTTCTGAGCTTTTTAAGTGGTCGAATCACATCTTGAGAAGCAGAAGCCGATTTTTCGACTGCGGAGCGGACCGAGTGGTTTTCAAATTGCTATAAAACGAAAAGAGAACATTATGAAACTGTTTCTTCTCCGTATGTAATCTTTTACAGTGTAGATACATTTTATGTAAAAAAGTATGAAAACTTATGTGAGCAAAGTGTCGGTGCCAGCTCAGCTGGCACCCAGCTGGCACGGTGCCAGCTAATTCAGAAAAAAGTTCGGCACAGCTTTCATTCACATAAGTTTTCATAAATTTTTGGCCCGTAGTTCCGGTCCACCAACGCACATGCACACACCAAATTTGGTGTCATACTATTGCGTTTTGGCTGAAAACAACGCCTTTGTTTGTTGATGGACAGCTTGCCAATGGCATGCCGGTGGCATACCGGCGGCATTTTTGCGGCAGTTCTCCGCCTCGGCCCCTGTAGAAACTATATCCCCTTTGCTTTCCGCCCTAAAAACGATATCCAGCTTGACCAGGTGCCAGCTGTGCTGGGCCCTGATTGACGAGGTAAATTCTTCGGTAAAATCGCATCAAATATTTTACATTTCAACAGTGCTTTATCATGATTTATCGAAATACCTTTGAATATTTCTGGCGGCCTAGCACACATAAACTTTACACATCTCAGTTCACATCATGAAACGGTGTATAAAAGAGAATGTATTGGGTTGGCGGATAATTTCTGCCACATTTTTTGTGTAAAATTCTGAAAAATACAAGAAGTCTTAGAATCTTTGAAGTTGCTCCATATGTGTCCACGGCAGAGCGTACACAACAGTATGACCAGGGTAAAGCGGGGGGTGCGGCACGCGACCCCCGGAGTACGACCCCCCCCTTGGGCCGGACCTCGGCACGACCCCCCCCCCCATTCCTACCCCCCCCCCCTCTCGCTCTTGAAGGCACCGTCCACCCAGAATTTCGACCTCCATGTTTTTGCCGTTCCAGGCCAAACCCTCGTTTTCAGAACCCGCAGAGCGATATCTTCGATACGGTGATTGGTTGGCGCGCACGGATGCGCACGCTGAACGTGCAAAATCATTACACCGACTTTCTATAAATCTTTATTTAGAAAATCATAAAAAATAAATCAGAAAGAAAATCATCAGGAAATCATCATTTGCACCAGTCAACTCGTCTTCATCCACAATTGTCCCGCAACGATTGGCCTGAAATGATCTCAGACTGATGCTACTTCGTCTCGCTTTTTGTACAGCTTTTGATGAAAAGAGCAATGGAAATGTAAATTTCCTGACGTTGTTTGCTACGTTTGGGCTAGGCATACATCAAGCGATTCCATCGCCTCGCGATTTACCCAGCAAAACAACTTGCACGAGTTTATTGAATGAGATCATCCTGCATTTCGGTTGTGAGAGTTTTCCGACACGACTAATCAATGCCAACCATCACAACGGAGATGCAAGATGATCTGCATGCAATGAACTCTTGCCCCAGTCACTCATTTGTTTCAGATCGGATGAGTCTGGTAGCACAGCGCTAAGCCAAGCCCATCACACTTCATAGATCTACAAAAAGAAACATAATCTCATACAAGATAGCAAAAAGTACGCACCCAAAAGCTATAAACTCCTAGAAAACGAAACTAGGGGCTTTTGTTCGAAAACAGAGTAAAAGCGAACTGAAGGAAAAAAGAGCATATTCACTAACCTTTTGCAATTCTTGATACTGTTGCTGCTTCTGCTCCTCAGTGAGTTGAGATCACATAGGCAACGAATGACTTCGCTCATTGAAATTAGACGCCTGCAGCCACCTGAGAGTGAAGGAAGGAAGGAAGAAGAATCTGCACAGCGACGATGCCTTTCACAATAAGTGATCGCTTCTGCAAGTTATTCTAGGCTTCCCAATATCTAAAGGGAACATCAATCGCAAACCGCGGAAATGAGGTCTTCCTGCGGGGTAGATAAGGGAATGCCACCTGAGATGGTGTGATCTTCACAGGGTCCACGATTTGTACAGCCTGTTAGTTACTTTCCCTGTTGTTCGCCGCTCTTTTCTTGCCTGAAGCCAAGCATTTGACATCGGATGTAACAGAAATACAAAAGAAACGTGATACCTCATCCACAACAGCTGCATATTTACTTCTCAGCGTAGTCTTTCCTACTTTTTTGGGCGTCACTTCAAATGATTTTTGGACGCATAGTGGATTTCGAAGTAGTCGCTAGGGATACCAACGTCAAAGCGCAAGTTCTGTAATAGGAATGCATAAAATGAAGCTAGAAAAAATCCAAAATCGAAACAAATAAAAAAAAGAGATGACTACTTACATCACTAATGTACATCTGATTTGCATGAGAATCCAACTGCAGCAGTGGTACCAAGATGTGATCTCTAGCTGCCTTCAACTTCAGAGATTCTATGCCACTTCCTGTCAGCAGCAAACAAAGCAGTTCTGCAATGATCAGTCTGATGGGTGGAAAGAGAAGGCGGAACAGACGCGGGAGAAGAGCTTATACCAACATAGCTATCGTTCATTCGTTGACCGTACGGACTGCCGACCGCGTGGCGACTGCGACGCGTGCCTTCTAAACTTGCGAAAAAGTGACAAGTTGGACCGTGGCTTAAGATGAGAAGAATTCTTTGTTTCTTTTCTACATTATAAAGATGAGAAGAATCCTCTGTTTTCTTTCTATTCATCTTTTCTACGAAAACATCATGCACGCGCAGCGGTCGCCGCGCGTCAGCAGTCGTTACGGTCAACGAATAAACGATACGTAGAAGGGTTCCGAAGGAATGGTCCATGCTTGTTTCTTGCTGTTCCTCTTCATGCATCCTTTTGCATTCCTGAGACCAACAAGAGCATTTTCGAACACCACATATTTAGAATATCGAAAGATAGTCACCTTGAAGATGACTTTTATCAACCAGACATGAAGCCCCTCCGAGTAGAGCCGAGCTTTGATGCCCGGACCACCGCTCATTATGACATGCGCAGCACGGAAGAAATGATCCGTCATTGCCTCAGGTGCGACTGATGCAAGAGGGAGGCCTCGTAAAATCACTGACACAGCAGCGCCCAAGTGACCCTGAAGAAAGTAAGATAACCATTGGTGCAGTACAAAGGATGTCCTACCGGTTGTGCAACTACGGCAACTATGATTTTAGCAGCTGCTGCACGCACTGCCATCCAAGGCGAGAACAAGCAACGCCACATCCAAGCGTCATGTTCCTGAATGCGCACAATGTATTCGAAGTTCTCGTAAGACTTCCCACAACTAACCTTAGCTGTGCCGCTCGTATGTGTATCATTTCTTGGTTTCTTCTCTGGAGGTGCCTCACAATCGTACACATTCAATTTCCCTTCTAACCAATCACCAAAGGTAGCACATGAGTCGAGATGTCGATTGGCGATTTGCACACGCCGACGATCAAGCACACTCTACAACATGCGCGAAAGTTGAAAATGGGGAAGTAGTAGAAGCCAGCGCAAAAACTCAAACAAACCTCATCGATGCATCGGTCTTAATGCCACGCCTCCTCTGCTGTAACTTTCTGTAGATCCTCTTTCTGATCGGTTTTGCGTCGACAAGACATTTATCAATGATGGTCAAAGCAGCAAGAGTCGTGTCGTGATCGTTGAATTTCATTGCGCTCTGTAATTTGCAAAATAACACACAAGCTACACCTGATCTGCCAGCGGTGGCGGTCAAAGACATTATCGGGGCAACGTGACAGAATTTTCATCAAATACATGATACGTCCACCGTAAAAATACTTTGGGAAACACATCACGTTTTTCGGAACAGTTCAGTCCTGAAATCTCGAAAAAAAGGGTACGGTAAAGAAAGTTTCACCGGCTGTCATCAATTCCAAAAAAGATTATCAGTCTAACTGAACACTTTGAATCATAATCAGAACAATTTGATTTTTACCAAGCGAACAAGTCGCTTTCGCCATCTCTCAAATTGTATAAACATTTTCAAAGTTTCGCAACCCATCCGGGGGGAGGGAGGCTTCCCCTTGGAAGGCCACTTTTAGATCCAGCACTTTGCAATATTAACCATCAGAAAAACGAACTAATAAAATGAAAGCTTACCTTCAGTAGTCCGCGGAATTTCAGCTGCCAGAACGAATCTGGGAATGTGTTAAGTGATCGTGCCAGCACAGTGCCACTAATTTTTCCTTTCATGACAAGGTCGCAAAGCCTGCAGAAGCAATGAATATCAAATGTGTCCAAACTATAATTTCTCAAGATATATCCAAGTAATACTCAATACACGAGCTTTAATAAAAACTCAAATAAGCACTCACTTTTCCGTGCCTTTTTCATTCTCAAGCGATATACGGCATAGTAACATCTCAACTTCTTCTCGAATCGGTCCATATTTGCGACCGACATCCACCTGTGATTTGCAAAAGAAGCACACGTTCGATAGTCCCCTAATGTTCTCACGGAATGGAGAGAGTAAGAAAACTTACAAGAGTGCCAAACACCACTAGGTGGAAGGCAGGAAGGGCTAGCAGCCGCAGGAACAGTCGAACTGCTAGAGGGAAGATCGGATGGACCAGCAGCTTCTGTCGAAGTGGGGTCTTGTTCTGGACGAGTTCTGAGGTCTGGAACACTTTGATAAGACGGAAAAACAAACTGCGGAGATTGTGAAAAAAAACTGCAGTAGAATCCGAGCAGCTAATTTAAAATCAATCAAATTTGGAACAAACGCAGGTGTATATTACAAGCCTTGAATTTTTAACGCTGAAGCACTCACTTCGGATCTCTCTCAAATTATATTCTACGTAGAAGCTATCATTGATGAACAACCCAATCACATTTATCAAGCTAAAACACATCGACATCTGCCATCGCCTTTTGGCATATTGCTATCATTTTTTGGCACATTGCCGCCTTTTCTCGTCATATTGGTCTAAGCCGTTCGAAACGATCGCAAAATGATCGATAAGAAAAGAGATACCTCAAATAACAACGATAAGGGAATAAAGCATGAAGAAGTAGGCTTTTAAGACGCTACTAAAGATAAAAAGGAAAACGGGACGAAATGAGTAGCACCAGACGGTTGGTCAAATAAAAAGAGCACAGATATGCGCATCTCTCGAGTCAGACGATGCGCAGTCATTTGCAAGAAAAGTGCAGAACGGGAAATGACCGAAACTATTACATGAGTCACCAAACTATGGAGTAGTACACGGTTTACATCGCGGAAAGGCTCACCTGCGAGAATTTCGTTCTTGAACGTTTTTCTACGCGTCGAATGACATTCGAGAGTCAAAAAAGTTAGAATGAGTTTTCCGAGAAGTAAACTTTTGTTGGCAAAAGTACATGGAAAATTTTTGTAGATAGTACATATAATACATTCACGAAAAGTGTTCATGAGCTGAGGGTGCTTTGAGAAGAGTTCAGAACGGCGAAAACGCCAAAATGCATTTTGAAAAGCACTTTGCAAAAGAACAAAAGAACAAAAGAAACAAAAGAAACAAAAGAACAATCAAAATGAGCAGGACGAGTGGATTTTGAAATGGGCATTTCAAACTGTCCTGGCTCCCGCCGTTGGTGCGACGGCAATTTTTCGACTCCTACCGTACACCAATATTTTCGGAGGTTGTCGGACTAGGTGCTTCGGTGAGTAGGGTTCAGAAAACCCACCGTATCTCTACTAAGAGGGCGCGCTTGGGGGAGGGCAAATGCTACTACGAAGAGAGGAAGGATGGATCTACAGGTTGACATGAAAAAGGCAGCTGTTTGAACATTTTGAAGGTAAGTTAATGGCCTGCGGCACCCCCCCTCAAAACCTGCGGCAGCCGCAGGTTTTGAGGGGGGGGTGCCGCAGGCCATTAACTATATCAAAAAAACATTTTTAGCGGACAATATTTATATGAATCAATAGCCTAAACCTCGTAGATTCCATAGGGATGTTTTGAGCCTGATTCGTCTTCTTAGCTCTGAGTAATTCTTGGTGAAAGCACAGCGATCAAAAGCTAAAAGCGATTTTGGTTGGCTTCTAATTCAATAGTTTGGAGGTCTTCTGAAGCGGGATTCCTGAGGTGGACAAAGAAGGAGTAGTGCTTTGTATTGAGTGCAAGAAGAGGTAGCTTACTCACCGTTAAGATGAAGTTAATCATGTTTTAAATTACTGCTCTATACAAGGTTGTTTACTGCTCGGAGACCTCAGAGTTCGCTGAAACTTGGCGCATAGGGGTTATTCGACACGCGGATTACGATAATTATACTTGATTAGCGGTACGGTAGGTTACGGTAGGCATACGGTATCTGCAAGTTTGTGTCATTGAACTTGAATTTTGCAGGACTTCAATAGCGTCGTCCAGTCAGTTTAGTTACAGCTTGTACAGCGAAACTATATCTCTTCACTTCTGCATTGCACCTCTAATTAAATCAGATTTCTCCAAACACAATCGGCTGTGTAAACGGCAGCACAGAACAAGACACGAGAACATTTCCACCTTTGTTATCGAAGCTCACAAGTTGGACGATTCTCTTTTGCCTCCAATCTAGATTGATTTCGAAGTTTTCAACTTCAACATTATAGAAATGAGTGAAAGCAGCTCCAATGCTCCACAGCCGAGGGACGAGGCGCCCCCCGATTCAGAACGGGTGGTTTTGAGTTGAATCAAGGAGTGAACTTCGGTGATCCAGCAGTTTGGCGAATCAATCTACCATATCCTACTACGCGGCCATGGGGAGCAAGGGAACCGGTACGACCTCCAGAACCTAATCCCTGGAGAAGAAGGCGGAATCAATCCGCCTTAGACTTCTATCTTTGATAGCAATAAAATATTCTTTCAATCTCTGTGTGTGAATTGTGTGAATTCAATGTTCAATGCAACTCCGTATTTTTGATTTTCGAATATATTCGATAAATTTTGAAGGAAATTTTAAGTAATTTTCCGTTTTCTTAGTGTAATTTGAAGCCCTATTTTCAGGTGCATAGTCCGCGAGGGATTTGTTCTAGATTCGACTAGCCCAAACACTTTGAAGCGGTTGAGTAGCTGTGGCATTATTGGAAGTGGTGGGCTCATACACCTAAAAAAGCGTATATTATATGTGTTATTTGCAGTGTGCTGGAATGTGGAAGTTGTTCTTTATCCCTTGGCTTGTCGCCGCTCCATCTGGAAATCCATGTCATCCACATTTCAACGAGATGTCGGTTCTACATTTTACTACAACCCATGAGGAACAGTTCATCGAATTGAGTGTTAGAGAAGAATGCTATAACGCTGAGGAGATGAAGAATTTGAAACTAAATAGCTATGGAATCTTAGTGGTTAACACAAAATCATCCTTGGTGAGTTTACCGAATTTCGTCGCCAGCATCTTCATTATTGAATATAGATGGGAGACGAGCGTAACTATGCCGACCCCGAGCGCAGTTTCTCTGCTGCTAACAGGCTCTCTAGAGAGGAAAGGAGTAACATAAAGACGGAATCTCTAGACAACATCATGACGTAGGCCCTGTTCTTGTAAGTATGCTCCAACATCAATGCATGTTTTAGGGTGCAGCGTAATGGGCCTAGCATTCTAACAGTCAAACTTCAACAGTTAGCACTCCAATGGATGCATCCTGCACCGGGACTTGGGCTGGATCCGGGTATGCCATCGAATCTAGCTAGAGAAGGCAGCCTCATGAAAGCAGTAAGAGAAAACATTGCAAAAGGTTCGATTCATTTCACGTTCTACAGTCTAAAGATTTCTATGCATCTAGGAGATGCATATGAGTTGGCCAAGCTCCATGTAAGGCGCCACATGGTGGTTCACGGTCTAAATGCACGAAAAGACACGGAGGAAATTAAAAACCGGCTTTTGCAAGAAGAACTTGCTAAGATGAACATTTTTTCAATCGGATCTTCTGAGAAAACAGACTGAGCATCTTCACATCTTTATAAATCATTATTCATTTCCTTATATTAGCGTATACAACAGATAAATGTTTTATTAAAGGTACATTTTACACAAAACCACAACAACAATATGCGTAAGTTCCTCTTTCCCGACACAAGTTCTTCAAATGTATCGTGCATTTCTATTGACGAGATCTTCACTTTCCCACACATCACACGTCGGTCGTCACACCATCATCCATTCACTGCAAAATCTCCTTTTCAAGAAATTCTATTGAAAACACAACTCGTACCTAAATCAAGACTACATTTAGTATTTCTCTCAATTATTGAACCTGAGTTGTCAGAGGTAGTTGGGAAAGAGCGTGGCACGTCTAAGAACTTAGCTGCAGTCATTTCCCCTTAGAAACCGCTTTTGACCTTGGGTCGATACGACCCCCCCCCCCCTACCTACCCCCCCCCCCCCTTACGACCCCCCCTTGCGGCGTGCCGCACCCCCCGCTTTACCCTGGTTATAACCTCGTACTTGCGCGATGCTGTGTCTGAGGGGGTCACTTTCGCATAGTACTGAAATCCCAAAACATCTTGCCGGGACACTGCCTTTAACGCCGATTCCCTAAAAAAGATTACTGGTTGTGCGACCTTTTCACTTGGCAACAGCACGCCGCAGATCTATCTGTGACACAAGTATTCACGTCCCCCCCCCCCTCACTGGCTTATTGTTAGCACCAGAAACCTCGTCCGCGCTTATCAAACCTTGCACGTCGAAGTTCCTTGCGGCGTGGCTTCGCAAAAAGCCTGACTTTCTTCGAGCAGACTAATCAGCATTGTCGAATACGGTACCAGATTTAAGCTAATTTATCCACGAAAATTCACTAAGCTGCCGCTGAGCAACGGATTCTTCTCCTCATTCGGTTGCACTGAGATTGATTTGCCTTCATATTTTTTTCAAATGAGCTATTATGCATTTCCGTCTCTCTGGTGCCGAGCTCGATTTGTATCCTTGCAGATTGGCAAGCTCAGACCACCACTTTGAAAGAGCGATTTGATGGAACAAGTTCGGTGTCTACGTTCTCTGTGAACACTCGAGTTGTAACGTAAGCGTTTATTGAGCAGGCATTCTACAGCAAAAAACTCCGAAGAAAGTGAGCCACTATGAGAAATGTCAAATCACGACCATTCCGGAAGCAACGGAGATTACTTGAGACGAGCCAAACGCAATGCAGATCGCGGAACATGTGTCCGGAGTTCGCAGCCCTATTGCACAACACAGCAGGACATATCAACCTGCAAAATTCTGATTAAGTAATCAAAAACCTTAACGACGAAAGCAATGATGAAATCCAATATGTACCACCTCTGCTACTTCCCCCCTCATAAATGGCATATGATCTCTCAACAATATCCAGTCTTCGTAACTGATTACAGTTTCATTGCCATCTCTAACCGTCACTGTGGAACCAACATAATCGTGCCGCAAGATTGCGAATGCCATGCAACGTAATACACTCCTTTCAACAAGCGGATATTCGCATTTATAAAAATGTCTAGCAGAAGAGGACATTATCTGAGAAAGACTGCATACTGCATACACTCTAAAGATCGTTCCGAGACGATGACGGCTGCCTTTGTAAGCGAGTCGTCGCGGGCGTACGAGCCCCAATGAGATGGTCAAACGCGGCGCTTGCACACCTAATTCGCAAAGTAAACCGACCGCCTCCGTCAGGGATCAGCCTTCTCAGACATTCGCAGTTAAGTCCCGCCGGAGATCCGCCCACAAAATGAGAATCCGCGAGAAAACCGGGAGTCTTGCGCGACTCCCGGTTTTGTCCCGACTTTCGGGACAATCCCGACAGTTAAAAAGTGGCGGGAGATTACCGGGAGTCGCGATCACCGATTTTGACGCTATTGCGCGTCAGTATCGATCCATTCATATTTCCACACAGGCTGTTTTTCCTCGCACACGACGGACTTTCTCGATTTCACATCTTTTTACTCCTTGACTGACTTGTATGATCCAGATCCAGGTATATCGTGCCCTCCACAAATGCTGTTACCCCCTTGGTGTGCTCTCATACCAGCCATGTGTGGTAACATGTTGGCAACGCGGCAAAAACATGCTTGCAACATGCCACATCATGTTGACAGAACATCTTAGCCACGCCAACATGTTGTGACATGTTGCACCGCAGCAGCACCGCTTCCGCAGCAATTTTTCCATTTACGCTCTTGCCGTCGTCGGAGGTGGTTGTGTTCGCAACTTCTGATTAGATACCTTTAACGTTATTTTCAGCCTTCACTCAATAGCGCCCAGAAGCGCAAAATTTTTTTTTATCTCTCCACACTTTTCATTTCTCTCACACGTTCCGCGCTAGCCTAAAAGCGCCAGCACGCTCTGACACGCAAGTGCTACCGCGGGACGATAGGGGAGCGTATTGACGCCTTTAGGCTAGCGCCAGGGCCCGGCGCAGATCGTCTGGAAGCAGGCTGGACTTCGTTTTTGAAGCAAACAGCAAACGGTAAATCGTTTTTGACAAGTCAGGACCGAGCATCAAGAATAAGCGCCATTTACTCGAACACAAGCTTTTCGGACAGGTTATCACACGATTGACATGCTCTATTGTGCATGGCGAAAAGTGCGCGCGATTTGAAAGCAAGGCTTAAATAAACAAATTGCTTGTTTACAGCGCACACAAAAGCATATGACACCAAAATTGAACTGTATGTATAGAAAATTATTTGCGAAAGTATTATGTAAAAAGATTTGAAAACTTATGTAAGTTAATACCTTTTCCAAAATTAGATCGTCTCCAGACGGCCACCAGACGATCTGAGATCGTCTGGAGCATATATTTTCGTCACTTCACATAAGTTTCGGATCTTTTTAGCATGGACGGATTCCCCGGTCAGAAATCTATCCTTGAGCATGAAGACATTTTCATAACATTGTCTTTCCTTTGTTTTTTGCCTTCATTTCTTCTCGCTTTGTTAAATATCGCGCTCTAATGCCACAGTCTTGTGCATGCATAGTATTCAGCTCCAATTTGGATTTTCACTCCTCTTATCTTACGTCTTTTCTTTCAAACTAGTGAATCTTTCCTGTTTTCATCTTCTCTTAAGCAGGTAGGTCAAAGGGGACTTCGTAAAACTTCCGAAAGTTAGGGGAAACTTCGTTTTCAGAGACCCTAGAAACCGACTCGTGCCGGACCCTGGCTAGCGCCAAACGCATGAGATCAGAGACGAGGAATGTGAGGAGAGATCAAGCACATTTAAGCTCTTTTGGGCCCTTTTGAGCAAAACGAAGTCTGACGAGTGTCTTGGCTATTGCTAGTTAGCTTTCGAAGAATATAACATTTTTCATCATCGCATGGAAAACGCCTGTTTTCTTTACGCTGCGTTTCCCGTACATTTTTATCCAATGCAGGCTGCACATTCTTGGCCTGTTTTTGATTAAGAGAGTAGATGTGAAGAACATTGTTTGCAACATGTCACCATGTTGACAGAACCATGGCAAGCAATTACTGAAAGCGTCATATCACATAGCGAAAGGCAACGAAGTTACTTTACCGGCAGGACATGTATTTGAGCGAAAGAATTTCACGAAGTCCTGGAAATTCAACGGATTTCCTCCATTCAGGGTTACCTATTGTAGTTGTTATCGATACAGCAGCACTTACTTTTGTTTCAGAATGTTAACATGATGGAGTTATTCGAGAACTGGACGCCGCCATCAAGGGCACACAAGAATGACCATTTTTTGTTAATGATGGATTTTTATAGTATTTTTTGCATGTAAGTGAGACTAAAATTTCGAGTCTATCCTGATCGAGAGGGGCGCACTTAGGCATGCCAGTCAAAACAAGAAATCCAAAACTTTGCATGCAGACAATCCGGTAAAAAGGGAAGATTTCCGCATCTGCAGGACTTGCTCGAAAGTCTGGTCACATTTTTGATAAGTGAGTGATTGATGGTCTTTCTAAAAATTCCAAAATAGATCTTCCAGATTTCGTTCTTAATGGTGTTGGCCTCTACGCAGAAGAACTGCTGCTGAGTGCTACCGAATGCGCGCGGCAAAGAAATAGGTATAGATAAAAGTGTTTCTACCCCTTGATATCTCATTGATTTAGATTTGGGCTCGGCCTAGGGAACGACGATGAGGCTAGGACGACGATTGACAAGTTGTCGGAGGCGAGGATGAAGCTTAATGGATTATCACGAGTGGCAATAGGAAGAGCTTTGCGGGTTTCTTTCAAAGATAATCTTCTTGAATCTATTGAATTTGAAGTTCAGAGGAGATGTGCGCGCCTACCATTTTGATGCCGATAAGGAGATGCTGTCGCCACCCTCGGTAATATTCATATATGATTTTTCAAATTAGTGTTAGATTGTTATTTTCCAGAAAAAGCGTTTTTGCCCTGCTACCACGCAAGATTCTTTGGCGCACGAGCAGGCTAATGAGTCGGAGCATGAGCAAGACGAAGAGATCGAAAATATGAAGGCGATTTGAATTATGGATTCAATCTCACACATTGATCTCGACATTCCTGTTTTTTTCTGTTAACTTACAAGGGAACCGTGTCGAGTCGAAGTGGCCTTTCCGGACGAGACCCATACCACTTTGAAGAGTATTAAGCGATGATTCCAAATCTGCCTTCCAAATCTGCCAAGCGCCTCTGGACGCCGAGTTATGACCGTTCTTCTGAACGAAAAATAGGTAAAATCGATTGTTACAATCTTTCCAGCGCTCAGATAAAGCAATGTTAAGTACTAGCATATTAAATAAAATGTATCCATTGCATAAACAGCTCTGATACTTGATACTGGACCATTTGAGCAAATTTGGGCGATTTGCTTCAGTTTTGCGTTCAATTTTTTGACCTGAAAAACGAGCATAAGTCGACGTCCAGAGGCGCTTGGCAGATTTGGAAACCAGATTTGGAATCACCGATTAATGCTCTTCAAAGCAGTATGGGTGTCATCTGGAAAGGCCACTTCGACTCGACACGGTTCCCTTGTCAGTTATAG